AACAAAATGGCAATAGGAAAACAGAGATAATAAATAAAACCAAAAGTTGGTTCTTTAAAAAAGATCAACAAAATTGACAAAAGTTTAGCTAGACTGACAGAGGAAAAAAAACAGAGAAGACACAAATAACTAAAATCAGAATGATAGTGGGGACATTAATACCAACCTTACAGAAATAAAAAGGTTTACAAAAGAATACTATGAATAATTGTATGCCAACAAACTAGATAACCTAGATTAAATGGACAAATGCCTAGAAATATACAAATGATCGAAACTGACCCAAGAATAAATAGAAAATCTGCACAGATCTATAACATGTACAGAGATTGAATCAGTAATCAAAACCTCTCACAAAGAAAAGTCGAAGACCAGATGGCTTCAATTGTTACTTTTACCAAACATTTATGGAACATCAATCCTTCTCAAACTTTTCAAAAAAAAAGAGGATAGAACACTGTCTAACCCATTATAATAGGTCAGCATTACCCTAATGCCAAAGCCAAAGACATTACAAGAAAACTGCAGTCAATATCTCTTACAAATATAGATGCAAGAATGACAACAAAATACTACACACTCAGAAGCATATTAAAAGGATTATACAAAATGACCAAGTTGAATTTACCCTAGGAATGTAAGGATGATTCAACATATGAAAATCAATGTAGTATACCACATTAATAGAATGAAGGAGAAAACCACATGATCATCTTAATAGGTAAAGAAAAAACATTTGACAAAATCCAACACTCTTTCATGAAAAGGCACTAAAAACGAGGAGAAGGGAACTTCTTCAACATGAATAAGGGCTTTTATGAAAAACTGACAGCTAACATCATACTCAAGGGTGAAAAACAGAAAGCCTTCCCCCTACAAGGGATGCCCCCACTTTCACCACTGGTACTCAACATTGTACTGGAGCTTTTAGCCAGAGCAATTTGGGAAGAAAAATAAATAAAAGGCATCCAAATCGGAAAGGAAGAGTAAAACTATCTTTAATCACAGATGACATGATTTTATATATAGAAAATCCTAAAATCCACAATAAAGTCTATTAGAGTTCATAAACAAATTCAACAAAGCTGCAGGATATAAGATCAACATGCAAAATTCAGTTGCATTTCCATACAATAGCAATGAATAATCAGAAAAGGAAATTTAAAAAACAATTCCATTTTCAAAAGCATCAAAAAGAATAAAATGCTTAGGAATAAATGTAACTAAGTAAGTATAAGACTTGTACACAGAAGACTACAAAACATTGCTAACAGAAATTAAAGCAGACCCAAATAAATGGAAATACATTCCATGTTCATGGACTAAGAGACTTAATACTGTTAAGCTGGCAATATTCACCAGATCAGCCCACAGATTCAATGCAAGTCCTATCAAAATCCCAATGGTGGGCTTCCAGTCAAGATGGTGGAATAGACGGTCCCCAGCATCACTCTCTCCCACAAATCAACCAATTTACAACTATAAAAAAGCAATGACAGCCAAGCTGGGGCTGCTAGAGCTCATGGAAAGAGGCGGAGAGACCTACAGTGTGCATGAAGGTGGGAAAAGCCACAATGAAAGAAAAAACCCCTTCGACCGTTTTGAGCCTGGCCATGTCCAGGCTGGAGCTGCTGGGGCACAGCTATGCCCTTCAGATGAAATTGCTTGGAGGCAAGCAGGGGTGAAGGGGGCCTTGGTGGCTCCCAGGACAGCAAGACCACTAATAGGGTTTCCATAGACTGACACAGCAGTGAGAAGCCATAACAACTGAAAAAAAGAAGCCATTCAGAGGCCAGTGAGTCATTGCAAGGGACCGGCCCATAGCCCACCCCATGGGAAGTGTTTGCTGCACGGGCAGTGGGAGAAACAAGCCCATGAGTAGAACACTGGGGCACAGCAAGGACAGCTGATCTGCCCCCCAATCAGCGTAGGATCACTCAGCGGAGAATGGTCAGGAATACAGAATTGCATGGGGTGTGGTTTGATGAAAAGACTCTGGCCCAGACCAGAGTTTCCACACAACCCAGGTGCACCGGATCTCTCGAGAGCTGGAAGTACCTATAAAGTCAACTATTAAAACCTGAGCTGCACAAAAAACCTTCCCTAGGGAATCAGCAGCAAAGCAGCAATTTAGCTCAACCACAGGGCTCAAGTACTGGTCCCCACAAGAAGTTCCCGCATTTTAGAAGTAAGCAAAGGACAACACATTAGTTCCAGTGCAGAGTTTAAATGGTGGGAATAGCAAATAATCCAACAGAGAAATGAAAGAAAAAACAAAGTACCTGCAACCAGAGACAAAGTTTCATATGAACTAGTAAAGGTCTCATTTCACCAAAGAACACCTGTAACACCCAGAAGGACCAGAAGTCCCCTGGGCTACCAAGCCAGAAAGGGGGGAGGGCCGGGGGCCTCAGCAATGCCCCCCAACATCTGCAACCAATCACGAGTATGGGGGACAGGGCCTTGGCCACGACCCCCCCAACACCTGCAGCCAACCCAGCGACGACCACCAAGCTGCCATAGGAAGTGCCCCAGGCTCTCCCAACCCGGAGAGGTGGGGGGTCTCAGGCCTCAACCATGCCCCCCGACACATGCAACCAGCCCAGCAATGACCACCAAACTGCAGCAAGAAGTGCCCCAGGTTCCCAAGATGGGACAGTGAGGAGTGAAGGCTTTTGCCACACCTCCCTGACATCTGTACCCAACCTGGAAATGACCAACCCACCACTGGAAGCCCCTAGGTCTCCTGTGTGGGAATAAGGGGGGTGCCACAGGCCTCAATCCGACCCCTCCTCCTTCCTCCTTCTTCCATCCCATTCCTTCCCCTTTTCCCTCTCCCCCTCCCTCCCAGCTGCTCTGCAACAACATCCTAGAATGTAAAAAATAATATTAACAAAATTACATTAAAAAAAAAAAATCCCAATGGCATTTTTTCTGTGTGGGTGGAAAAGCAGATCCCAAAATTCATATGGAATTGCAGAGAACCTTGAATAACAATTTTGAAAAATAAGAAGAATGTAGAGTTCTCATACTTCTACATTTCAAAACTTACTACAAAGCTACAGTAATCAAAAAAATGTGGTACTGTCATAAGAATAGACATATAGATGAATGTAATAGAATTGAGAGTACAGAAATAAACCCATATATCTATGGTGAATTGATTTTTGACAAGGATGTCAAGCATTTTCACTGAGGAAAGAATAGTCTCTTCAACAAATGGTGCTGGGAAAACTAAACATCCACTTGCAAAAGAAGGAAGAAAGACACTTACCACAAACCACATACAAAAATTAACTCAAAATGGACCAAGGGCTTAAATGTAAGAGCTAACAATATCAAAGTCTTAGGAACAAACTGTTCATTATCTGTTATTTGGAAATAGATTTTTAGATACAACACCAAAAGCACAAGCAACTAAAGAAAAAATAAATTGGACTTTGGCAAAATTTAAAACTGTTGTACATCAAAGGACACTAAAGTGAAGATAACAGAATGGGTGAAACTGTTTGCAAATCATATATCTATAAGGGTCTAGTATCCAGAATATATACATAACTCTTACATCTCTCAATGAACAAACAACCCAATTTTTAAAATAGGCAAACAAGTTGAATAGACATTTCTCCAAAGAAGATATACAAATGGCCAGCAAGTACATGAAAAGATGATCAATATCATTAGTCGTCAGGGAAATATAAATCAAAACCACAAGATACCACTTCACACCCCCTAGGATAGCTACAATCAAAAAGACAGAAAAATAACAAATGTTGCCAAACATGTGGAGAAATTGCTGATGGGAATCTAAAATGATGCCACTGCTGTGGAAAACAGTTTGGCAGTTCTCCCAAAAAAGTTAAACATGGAATTACCATATGACAAAGCAATTCCACTCCTAGGTATACCATATATGCAAAAGAACAGAAACTAGGTATTCAAACAAGTACTTTTACATAAATGTTCCTAGCTCACCATCCACAACAGTCAAAAGTGGAAACCACCCAAATGTCCATCAATGAATAAATTGATAAACAAAATACAGTGGATACATACAATGGAATATTATCCGGCCAAAAAAAAAAAAGGAATGAAGTAATGACACATTGAATGAAGTACTGACACACTGAATGAAAAAAAGGAACGAAGTCTTGACATATTCAATGAAAAAAAGGAATGAAGTACTGGCACAACAAAGCACAAGGATGAACCTGAAAACGTTATGCTAATTGAAAGAAGCCAGATACAAAAGGTTATATATTACCTGATTCCATTTGTATGAAGTATCAAGAAAATAGTTATATTCCATAGAGAGAGAAAGCAGATTAGCTGTTGCCAAGAAGCTGAGAGAGGGGAGACTGAGAAGTGACTGCCTAAGGAGCAGGAGGTGAAAATGTATGGAACTTGAAAGAGGTGATAGTTGCACACTATAAAATGTGCTAAATGCCACTGAACTATACACTATAAAATGGTAACTCGTATGTTATGTTATGTAAATGAAAGGGAGGGAGGAATTAAGTAAGTTAGTTTGAAAGTGCCCATCTCCACAACACAGCCCAGGGTAAAGCAAAGTCTTTGTTGCAGCTGAAGAGCCAAGTGTGTGAGACGTCAGTGAGGTGCCTTCATAGATATTCATTGGTCCTTCTCACCTCCATTCCTTCTTCATACCCTACTTCTCAGATCCCATATATACGTTTTCTCATATAAAAACAAACTAATATGTTTCTATCTCACTATCATTAGTCATTAGGGAAATATAAATCAAAACCACAAGGTGCCCCTTCACACCCACTATGATGGCTACAATCAAAAAGACAGAAAAATAACAAATGTTATTTCTACCTCCTCTCTCTATTCTATCTCCTCTCCCCTACTCAAGACCTCGGGGACATGTGAACACATGAGGGTTTCTCTCCCCTGCAGCTCACTATAAGATATCACCGTGTGCTTTAGAAACACAAACTATGACTTACTCCAAGTGCAAAAGATGAAGATTTTACCTTTGCAAGTTCTCTTCGTAGCTCCTCTTGCTCCTCTTCTGATAGGGTCTCCGGGGCATTGACTGTGGCAGCAACATCTTCTCCTTCCTCAGGGACTGGGTCTGTTCTCAGCAGACCTTGTTTTTTAAAAAAAATAATACAATTTAAAAGTCTGTAAGGTGTGAAAGCAAAGTTCTCCTTTAGGTTCCTCCACCATCCCAGCCAGAATCAAGCCAATTAGGCTAGATCCAGACATCGCCTTCAAATGGCCTGGCTCTCCCAGTAAAGAACCAAAGAGAAGTCTGGGCTAACCACTAAAAACCACCAATTCAGACACAGCCAAATATGAATTTAGAAAATATAGAATTCTCTCAGCTTCTATTCACAAACTCAGTCACAACACACTTACTACAGAACAAAAGAGTTAGAGGCCAGGAATGAGATCCTGGAAAGGCTTTAAAATGCTATATGAGTAAATCAGTATAAATTAGATGAAAGATTTTAGCCCCCAGACACTAACCCAGGGGAGGAGTTTGTACATGACTTTAAACTCCCTGTGGTAACCAGATGCAACATTTAACAACCTCGGTGAAAGAACACCGCTGAACAAACTAAATGCCCCGAAGAAATAATATTCCGTTTTTTCCCATTAGTTAGCGGAGGTAGGAAACTCTTTCTTGTAGCTTTCTTAAGAAATATATTTCATCCAGATGCCTTTAAGAAAGAATCCTATGTATATATTCAGAGACATGACCAGCAACCACATTGAGACTTTCCACATTTAAGACCAAACCCATTGGGCCCATTCCCTGGAACAGAGCTCATCAGGAAGAACTCTGTATTAGTTGAGGGTAACCAGGGAGGCAGCTGTCCTCAACCCTGCCCTGCTTTCCCACCCAATCCCCACCCACAAGGCTTAGATGAGACCAGCCAGGCACCCAACCTCGGGTGCAAAACTGAAGGGGTACTAAAAAACCTCAATACAAATAATACTTTAATACAACATTTTTTAAAAAATCAAAATTGAGTCAAAAAATCCATGATGAACAAAATACAAAAATTTAAATAGGAGCAGTATTGCTGATTTTTCCTTTTGCCTCAGGCTCCAAAATGGCTCCCCATGAATGGCATTAATACAGATCTTGTATTTATTTAAAATTTTTACATTTCCTTCCTCATGGATTTTTCTTTTTTCTTTTCTTTCTTTTTTTTTTTTGCATTACTTTTGATATTAACATATTTGATTACTGACCTTTTTGGCACCCCCTTAAATTTTACACCTGAGGCACATGCTTATTGGCCTCACTTGCCGTACCCTAGCCAAAGTTCTGCCCATTTATTTCCATGTCACAGGTTTGGGATTTCAGTCTCCTCTGGCAACAGATTTTTTTTGCACAAGGGACGAGGGGCAGGTTTCCTGCTCTTTGTCTCTACCTGAATGTCATAGCCACTATAGTTGTGGGGAATAACCAGCCAGGACCATTTCTGAGAAATGCCAGTTCAGCCCTATCAGCAATGTGGCAACCTGCCCAAAGCAAAATGCCAGGTGGCAGATGAAGAACTTAACAGGCAGGCAGACAGGAAAACACAGAGAGGATAACCACACTGTTGAACACAGAGCCAGTGTCATGGCAAAATTAAAAGCATATGAATCAATGAGATGCGTACATACATTATGTATAAGTTACAAAGGCACTTGGTAAAGGGTCTACTGTACATTAACCACTTAATGGTAGTTAATAACTATAATAACAATAATCACCAGCATGACAGTACCAAAATAATGCCTACCTGGAAGGTGTTTACAGAATTTCCTCAAATTTTTAGATTATGCAACTAATAAAAACTACCTTACTTTAGTTACACTTTTCTACATATGATAATATGGGACAGGCTATTGATTTAGAAAGGTTTTATAAGTCTAGGGTGTTCTCTGGATTCCTCTAAAGGCCGATTGCCTTTTTGTTCCCTCTGTTCAGTGTATGGCTTGTATTTTTCTTATTAGCAATGGGTTACATTTTGTTTTGGTAAAGAGTACTTTTGTTGTTGTTTCAAACTGGATTTTACTGAGAAATCAATCAAACTGAGCTATCGATAATTTAAAATTTTGGCCGCTCATTTCAGACTTCACATCATTCTTGCTGAAACTCTACTTTGTAAGAAAATAATCTAAGTGATTCATTTTCAAAAATAACTTACCTGAAGGTTTTAACTGATTCAGGCCCAGCCCAAAAGTTGTCTGACTGGTCCAGCCCATTCCCGGAGGGTCTCTGAACAGATAGAGCTCTCCTTGAGATGGTAACTAGTTACTAGCCCCTGTTGTTTTCCTCATTCCCTCGTGTTCTCCCTTCACAGGGCTCACGCAGGCCTTTTTCACAGGCTTGTCCTGAGCACCCAGACAAAGGAATTCCTTGCAAAGGGGAAGACTGTGCACCCCGTAGTACTCAGCCAATGAGGAAGCGGGGGGAAGGACTTGTGAGCTAGGAAATAAATTGCTTGCTATAGACCTTTTCCACGTGCCTGCTCTTCAGACACCTGAACCTTATAAGGCTGTAATTAAAGTCTTGCTTCACTGTACCTCGTGTCTCCGCATCCATCCTTTGTCACTGGACGGGTGAGGGAATTTCTCACGACTAGAACATTTTTCTTCTTTTCTTGTTTTTGGATGTGAAGGTAAACCTGATTTTTGTCTGATGTCGAAAAGCCTTGGTACTTTACAATTTTAAGATTCACAGAAGCTTAATTTGATATAAAACAAAGATTTCATTCTACTCAGGAAAAAGTATCTTCTAGTATATGTTTTAAATGTATCTTTGTCCTCATACACAGAAAGTTCTTAATTGATTTTACAGGCTATATGCTTGATGTTTTATAAGCATAACATTTTTATGTTTTTAAAAAAAACAAACTATATTTTACTCTTCTTTCTTGATTCTTAATATTGTACAACATTTCACAGATGGAAATCAGCAAGATGGAATATTTAATGTATTTTTATTCCTTAAAGAATTAGAACACATAGTTTCACCTTACAGCAAGAGGAGGGGTGCAGTGAAGGACTGTATCAGCCACAAGCAGGGCAAAAACCAGAAATACTCAGAACAAATCACCTGACTGTTATGTAATAGATGATTTCTGTAATGTCCCCTTTTTCCTAGGTCTTGTGGCCATGACTCCATCAAACATACTTTTTCAAAGACCTTGCCTATAGAATATTAAATATTCTGCCATTGAAAAGTTTATATGTATAATTTGTGATGCTTTAGAGAAATATTCTAAGCACAGAATAAACTCTTTTAAGCACTTCACTAAAGCTGAAGACCAACAAGATTTCTACTTGCATATTTGAAAGTATGTTTTACTGTTTTGTTTTTAACAATATTCAGATAAATAGTTGTGTGTCACTATATATGTTTTTGATATGTGTAATCAAAATGGTAGTCTCTTTCTGTTACTTGAGATGAATGAAACTAATTCTCATTAATCAAGCATTCTATTTTCTGTTCTAGTATACATAATTCTTGACAAATTTTAATTAGAAAGAAAACATTAGATGAATGAAACTAATTCTCATTAATCAAGCATTCTATTTTCTGTTCTAGTATACATAATTATTGACAAATTTTAATTAGAAAGAAAACATTATGTTACAGAAAATTAAAACTAGGCTGAACAGATAAGATAGGTTCTTGATATTTCAGAAAACAGTCTCACAATTATTGAATATTCTCACTGTAGACTTCTGAATAATTAATTTCTGTTACTCTCAGAGGCTTATAGAAACTATATGGGATTATTTACAAATGGCTCAGGAAGGAATGAGGTGCATTACCAGGAACATTCTAGAGAATTCTGGCCCACCCACCCTCCATAATTGTTCAGCTTCCCCACTGAAATATTGTAAAATCTGGTCTTTATTGGAAGTACAGTATTCTAACACATATTGCCTAAATACTTAATAATTATCAACAGGACTAAAAAACGTTTTAATGAAGATTCTTGGGTATATCTAATAGCTAGTACTCACTGAGTATCTATTGGAGCTTTGCTAAGTTGTTTTCCTGTATTAATTCATTTAGTCCTAACAACTACCATGTAAGACAGGTAAGCATTATACATTATTCAGGTGAACAGGCTCAGCTATTGTAGGAATATGCAGAATTTGAATCTAGTTCTGATTCCAAATCTTTTCCTTTTTTTCAGTATAAGTACTGAAAATGCAATATATTTTGGTCTTGAAATTTTACTCTTATGTATATAGCAACAAATGCTATTCAAAAATACCATAAATATTCTGTATTCACCATCTTGTGATGTTGTTTACTGCACAAAGTATTACAGTAAATGATGCTTTTTTTAATACCGTTTATTTGCACTACAAACTAAAAAGTAAGAGACCACATACTTTACATAAATACATAGTTACGATTTCGAACACTATTTTTTTAAGTTGCTTCACATAACTGGTTTGCAATAGCAATAAATCCTCCCCTTTATCCGCAACCATAACTCCCAAACACCATTAAAAGCAATTCTTTAAAAAATTATTAACATTAGACAAAACCACCACAATGCAACATGAGCTTACTTTAAAGCACTCTCAGAAAGAGTGGGAGATTTACCTTTTTCTCCTCAAAGTAAAATAAAATAAAACCTTTCCCTAGACTCCTTAAGATAATGAATCATTGCATTCTCATTTTACAACTTTAATCACCTTCTGTAACACATAAAGACAACCCCAATCATGTCAAAATACTCAGGCATACATGTTTATTAAACAGTTTATAGGCAGCTGCCAATCCATTCAAAAACTTTACATTTTTCCTTTTTTTCTGGCTGATAATCACTTTTGGCAATTTTTTGAGCATCATTTATTTAAATTCCTTCAAAATATTGATAAATGATGCTTTTGAAAGCAGTTTTCTCTCAAGTCAGTTATGTCCTCATTCAACCCTGAGCATAAGAGGCATAGTTCTGGACTTAATTGTGAAATTAACATTTTTGAATGAATATTTTAACTCATTTTGGGGTTAGCTGGGACATTCTAACTCATTTCCATACAGTAAGGTAGCACTCTTACAATAAATTACTTTCGATATGGGTCTTTTATTAATAAAATCATTGATATGAGTTGGAA